GTTTGAAACTAACAGCTTTGTAATTGGCTAGACTATTTTGATGGACCAATCAGCGAGCGCGTACGTTGCCGATAAGGTAATGCTATGAAAAGGCAAGAAAAGTATGTATCGCGATACGTATCGTATCGTGACCATAAAATCGTGATACGTATCGTATCGTGAGATTGGTGTATCGTGACACCCCTAGTCAACACCTACAACCTGTGATATAAGGATAATGACAAATACAGAACATGGTATTCAACTCAAGGATCTCTAGCATTAAATTCACCTTCATTTTCAGGGGTGGAAATAACTTTAAAATTGCTAGTGTACTCTGGTACAGTGGCACATGTAAAATCACTTGCCCTGATAAATTTTCCACTATACTGGCCGTTTTCTTGTTGATTTTTTAAATAAACAACATAATTAACATAGGAATATCAACTGGACACCGGTTCAGTGTGATATACAAATTTGCTTGCCCGACAGAAAAAATCACTTGACTCGGGCGTCGGGCAATGGTTATTTCCACCCCTGATTTTCATCTACAAATTTCTACAAACACTACTCAACATAAGTTAAGGATCACCTGGTTCTCTCATATTACTAGTCAATATAACTCATATCAACATAACTTACAACTGAGTGAGTGAGTTGGATTTTATGTCGCTTTTAGCAATATTCCAGCAATATCATGATGGGGGACACCAGAAATGGGCTTCACACATTGTACCCATGTAGGGAATCGAACCCATGTCTTTGGCGTGATGAGCGGACACTTTAACCACTGGGCTACCCCACCGCCCCTATACAGCAAGATGAAAGGGTTGGGAGTTCCTTAACTTCTGTGAGTAGTATATATGCTTGATTGTAAATGAGAAAACAAATCTGACAATTAAATGAGTGAGTGAATTAGTTTAGTTTTAAACCTAAACAAATATATGAGAAAATGAATATAAACTATGAAAAACTACTCTCGGCAAGATCAATGTTGACATCACAGGGTCCCTGATATGAAAGTAGAGTCAAAATAATTCACAACAAATGACTGGTATGGAGAGAAAGTTTTAGTTTAATGTGGGATGGTTTGAGTGAGTGAGTGAGTGAGTGAGTGAGTTTAGTTTTACGCCACACTCAGCAATATTCCAGCTATATGGCGGCGGTCTGTAAATAATCGAGTCTGGACCAGACAATCCAGTGATCAACAGCATGAGCATCGACCTTCGCAATTGGGAACCAATGACATGTGTGAACAAAGTCAGCGAGCCTGACCATCCTATCCCGTTAGTCGCCTCTTATGACAAGCATGGGTTACTGAAGGCTCATTCCAAACTAAAATCACCAGTCTAAGTAATATTCCTTCTAAATACTAAAAGCATTTTACTTTTGGCAATTAATGAAGTGTATATGAGGTAAAAACAATCTTAAAAATATTTTCTTTTAAGTTTACATTATTGACCAATAAAAACACTACAATTTTATTTATTGAGCAGGGAAAATTAATTTTGTTTTTCTTCTTATTCTTGAAAAAATGCGACCAGTGGATCCGTAAAACAAGAAATAAAATTGGTCTGGCCTTATATACATAATGAAAGTATAGGACATCACTTTGGAGGATAATCTCACAAAAGGTTTTAAAAATCCTAATACTGACAAGTCAAAAATGCTAAATATATCTACACCCAGTTTTGATTACATAAATAGCTAATACAAACTACATATAATATAATGATATAACAGAGATGGCCATTCATAACAACAAACCTTACCTAGAGATGATGCTTTGAATGAGTGAGGGAACAGGGTTTAAGACCAGTTTGAACAGTATATCTGTTATATGTCACCATGTCTGGAGAGTAGGAGGAGAGCCCAGTCTAAGTAAACTTAGGCTCAGTATAATTCGTTACACTGCTACACTGAGTCTAACAAAACCTAGTAGAAAGTCGCGATCGCCTCCGTGGTGTAGTGGTTAGAGCGTCCGCCCAGAGAGTGGAAGGTCGCGGGTTCGATCCCCAACCGCGTCATACCAAAAGATGTTAAAATATGGAACTTGTTGGTCCCTGCCTGGCGCTCGGCATTAATGGGTACAACAAGGACTGGTCGGCTCGGAGTCAGTATGATGTGTCTGAGTGGGATATTCATGCTTCAATGCGGAATGGTATCTCAGTGGGCTAGCACTACAAAACCAGCTTCAGTCTGGGCTAGTACAAGCAGCCGCACATACACATACACACGCATACACGTCGTCATATGAGCAAAATATTCTCAAAAACCAATTTCACCTAGCAGAAGGTTGCATTAGCTAACCTTTGAGCAACCTTTGAGCGACCTATGATCGTCCAATCAAACGTGAGACAGCCGAATGGATTTAACCAATCAGACAAGGACTACTTGTTTGGGTTCGGCGGGACTTACAAAACGGTTTTTGGATTTTCTCTTCCCTGACTCTGATCTATCAACAAACGAAAATCCACATAAAACACAGATATTTGACCTGCAGTATATACGCATATGGGTTTCTAATGACATGGTTACTATTTGCTTATATTTTCTCAAGATAACATCTTTGAATATTGACAAAAATGCTATTTTCAGCGACTGTTTACTCACTGCGTGTATCACTCGGAAGCGATCGTGCGGAAAATAGCATTCGGAATTGTTTGAGTTTTTGAGGTAAAGGTTCAAACGGTATGTGCGAATGTTACCTTTCGCGATTTGGTAAGATGTGTTCTGATTGGTCAGTCCAAAAGGTTAGCTGATGTGACCTTCTACCAGGTTTTGTTAGACTCAGTATAGCAGTGTAACAAATAATACTGAGTCTAAGTTTACTTAGACTGGAGGAGAGCCTGAATCATAGGTTCCTTGCATTCCCAAGGGGAGGTAACTCTGCAGACGAGGGAGGAAAGCCTGAACTGATGCAGATCTCAGATGTTAACAACTTTGGTAAAACTCACCAACATGGATACAGGCTGATATACATGGAAACATGTCTAGGGTAAACTAGGATTCTAAACCACGTTCATAGGTTCCTTTCATGCCCAAGGGAGGTAACTCTCGACAGCCTGAAAGCTTGAAGTGATACGGGTCTCAGATGTTTACAACTTTGGTAAAACTCACCAACATGGGTATGGGCTGGAACTCAAACCGACATTCATAGGTTCCTTGTATGCCCAAGGGAAGCAACTCTGCACAGATGTGGGAGGACAGCCTGCATCACTTCAGGTCTCAGATTTTTACCTCTTTTGCAACACAAACCTTGAAACATGTCTAGGGTAAACCCTGATTCGAACCCATATTCATAGGTTCCTTGCACGCCCAAGGGAGGCAACTCTGCACGGTAGTGTAGTGAATGCATCGCAGCTGAGGCAGTCTACACCCAGGTAGATGAGCTTTCATTTTGTCCGACATCTAATATTTAAATAAAGAAATCCATCCAGGGTCAAATACCCAGAGCAGCTGCAAAATCCAAGTTCTGTGCCTTTGAAGAAAACATGGATTATAATATCTAACTTTGGGTTTGGTTTGTTAGTTGGTAACACAGCTGCACTCAGCAATATTCCAGCTATATAGCGGCGGTTCTAAGTAATCAAATCTGGACCAGACAATCCAGTGATCAATATAATGAGCATCAATCTACACAATTGACATGTCAGCGAGCCTGACCACCCAATCCAGTGATCAACAGCATGAGCATCGGTCTGCACATTTGGGAACCGATGATGTGTCAACCAAGCTAGTGAGCCTGACCACCCGATCATGTTCGTCGCCTCTTACAACAAACATGGGTTACTGAAGGTTCATTCTAATCCGGACCTTCACAGGTCATCCTACTATTAGAAAATGTGTAAAATAACACATCTGATACTGATGACAGGTTATATTTATAAATATACAATCAATAGAAAGCAGAGTTCATTGTACACTCAGTTGTTCAATAGTTAAATCAATTTTGTTGTAACCTTTGAAGATGGAATTTGAAATAAACACTTTTTATCAATCTCACCTGACACTTGTGGGTTGTGAACAGTGTATTAATATTGTACAGGTAACAATCAATATGAAGGAATGAAGGATGAGAGGATGAATGTGAAGGCATGTTCATATGAAAGTATAAAAAGAGAATATTTACAAATATTATTAATACTATAAACATACATGGGTTAGAACATTAACTATACATCATTAGTACAAAGATCATAAAAACATGCTGATATTGGTCCATTCAACAATACAAAAAGATAAGTGAAATGACGAAATAAATTAATACTGCTCTGAAAATGCAGAATTATAATTCAAAACAAGTGATTTCATTAGGAATAAACACCATAACCGTATATTACTGTAGATAAGCCAAATTTTGAAGACTAAAAAAGCCTGTAGAAGGGGGAGGCTTATTTATGGGTTACACTTTTGTTAAACTTCTTTTCAGGGGTATCTACGGTAATATACGGTAAATCCATAAAAAAGAGAATCCAGATATTGCTGCTTGATCACTTGCTGTTCAACAGCTGCTAAAGTGTAATGAATTGTATCTGCTTATGGTACAAGCTTAGGGTGTGTCTATATACTGAAGCAAGCACGCACACACGGAGACACGCACGCATGCACACAGTTGCACATGCACACCCACGCATGCACACACACGTACTCGCACACAGTCACATGCATGCACACGTATGCATACACACACGTGCACACATACATACACGCATGTGCACACCCACACACACATGCATACACGCGCACATGCACACACACACACGTACACACAGCTTGCATAACAACCTTACACAAGGATATAGGAACACTTGCAATTTCATGTACATGTATTCCCTTTTTTCCTTCCTTCAGTATATGAACTCAACTTTTGACAGGCACAAAACAGATATGTCATTCCATATATACACTTGACATATCACGCGAATCATATCATCAAATCATGAAAAGATATCAATTCTCTATCAACTCAGAAGTGGTGTATATACTATTGGAAAAAGTCAAGCACTGTTATATCTCTATAAAAAGATAAAATTCTTTAACATGCATCCCTTTTTTAATTTCATGACAAGACACAGCTGTTTCTTTACAAAGAGAAATGTTAAGATGCCATGCCCAAACTTAATATGAATACCCGCACAATAAAAACAGACCTTTGCAACCATCTACCCTCCTCAATGTATATTAATGCAGACTTGTTCTCGTCACTATATGGCTGGAATAATGCCGATGTGACGTAAAGCCCAACTCAACTCAACTCTACCATCCACTTTGATTCAATATCTGGCAATGGTATGGTCCACACTCAATCCATGAATTGAGGGAAGTTATTTGACTTCGGTCTTCCTTTGATTCCTACACAGCCTCACTTCACTACCTGCGTAAGGTTTAATGCCTTTTTCAGCAATATTCCACAATAACGCGGTACCGAGGAGACCAGATATTTAATCCCCTAATGCCCAACTCCAAGCAGGCGAACAACAAGTACAATCTTTTCATAAGACGGGGCCTATTTTTCAAAGCGATCGTAGCGCTAAGGTTATCGTAACTCCCCTTGTTAAGCATAGACTTACGATCAATGTAGCACTAAGATCGTTTTGTGTGTTGTTTTTACAGCACCCAGAACCAGGGATCAGTGGTTCCATTCTGGCTAAATGTGACTAATTTTATAACAAGGCACAACGACTCTGGGCAGAACCAGACCAACATGCATCACTTTTTCAATTTCATGACAAGACACAATCGTTCCAGTTTTAAAAGAGGAATTATTGAGATACCAATTTCCATTTCCACATGAATACTCAGACACTGTATAGTGACCCTGAGCACACCAGTTACTGTATCCTGTTAACACCAGGCAGAGCAACAATAAGTATCATCTTTTCTCAAGACAGTACCAGTATTCAACCATTGACCTTCCGCTCTCTGGCAGATGCTCTATCCTCCAGATCACTGAACCAATCTTTAATTACAACGAGACCAATACTCTATGTCAACATTGCCAAAACATACATGAACATTTGGGGCATATGCATATAGAAGCAGTGCTTGACTCTTTTCCAACAACCCCTGTCTTGATTGTAAACAGATTGCTTGAGATCGTGTAACACCTGGAATCTTCAGTCATAAACAATGGCACCAAGAGAGTATTCACAAAACAAATTATTATTCACAAACAAACAGAATATAACAAGACAATTAAACTAATTAAGGTCGTCGTTCTAGTGGCAGCCATCTTGGAACTACCTGAAATGTCTCTTGTCATGTCTTCATTGACAAACAGGAAGTCATCAACGATGTGAATGACACCGTTGGTGGCTCCAAGATCGGAGTGGATGACTCGAGCCCTTGCATTCATGAAATAAACTTCAGTATCTGGAAAAGAGAAGTGAGAGTGTGGGTAAATATCTCGAAAGGGGCATCTATGCCCAATTGTACTACTGGCAAACAAGGATAAGTTGAGCACCGACCTGACAATTGACCTGTATTAGCATGTATGAGTGCCACCCACTGGCGCTTCCCATTGTTAGCGAAGGGGCCCCAGGTTGTCCGCAATCAAGTGTAGTGCTACACCGACCATGTGAGAGTCTTATGAGCAAAGCATGTGCAGCTACGCGCAGAATCAATTTCATCGTCATGCATGGCTCATGCACTAGTATACACAAACCAAATGGGTTTGCTCATTGCCATGCACCCTCTACTTCTCGTAAACCTGTTCTCTGCACCAGTCCAACTTATCCTTGTTTGCCAGTAGGATCCGTGCTTAATAACAAGATGTAATCCTAAAAATAACGTTATATATCCAGATATATCCGGATCCAGAAAGAGTATATTAAATGACCATTGAAATTCTCGTGAAAACAGGTGAAAACGTGTGCACCCCCCCCCCTTTCTCAAAAAGTTGTATCTGCCCCTGATATAAGTTGTGTGAGTGAGTGAGTATGGTGTTACGCCGCTTTCAGCAACATTCCAGCAATATACTAGCGGGGAACACCAGAAATAGATTTCTATATATTTGTAATATAATGCCTAGATAGAGGAGGACATATTTACTTACTCTTGTCATCAATCTTGTTGAAGCGGACCTCCTCCCCTGTGTCAGCTGTATACACGTGTGTCCCTCGACTGAGTTGGTCCACGTAGATCTTACGATTTAGTGCAATATGACGCCGTAAAACCTTCAAATGAACACAAAGAGAATATAAATAATAGGAAGAAGAATAATGGATATGAGTTTGTCATCGTCTTCTCATCACTTGCTTGAACCTCTCCTCCACTTCAGAAAGCAGTTGTATGACTAAGGTGATCGTAACTCCCACACTTTAACGGAAACATATGACAGTCGTAACACTGAGATGATAGCATTTCCTGAACTTGTACAGAGTAGGAGATGATTGTTAGGGTGTTATGACCCAAAAAAGAAGTTTTTCCTTTGTAAGAATTATATGAAATTTAACGCCAAAATACTTAAATGCTGTCAAACGTAAAAATGTGGATCACTACCGGTACTGTTTTCAGCACCAATGTTTGGCGGTTAAAATCAGAGTTGAGCAATATTCAAAAATACTTTACTGCTGACAAATTTCATGTCTGACCCACAATGCCAAGAGTCAGTACGATTTTAACTTTTCTGGGTGGAATTTTAGAAGTTGGAGAGCGCAATATCGACAAACTTTATGAATAATAACTTCATTTATTCCACAAATTTTGATACGGTCAGATATTTGTACCATTGTCATTCCTGCTTGACTACGGTACAAGAATCTGTATCGAAATGTTGCACTCACGAAATATCAGAAGTTGTTATCCATAATGTTTGTCAATATCATAATACGCTTTTAGCACTTATTTTGTCATCTGACCACAAAACTAGTCTTAAAATCTAAATGAAATTCATGGCTTACATATCTGAGTCGATTGTTGTCCCGGAATAACTGTCTTCCGTAGTAGCTGTTCCCGAAGTTGTCTATTGTGGTGCCGTTCGGCACGAAAACTGTGAACTGACAGAGGGTGTTGCTCTCCCCACAACCCCCACGTTTAATCGGGGGGGACGCTGATGGCTGGTTGTCGCTGTTGGGGTTTGTGCCGTAGACCTTCTGGTTGTTGTTGAAGAGGCTGGGGTCGGCGTAGTTGTAGTCACTCCTCTTGGTGTTGTAGCTGCAAGCGGGCATCCTGTTCAGGTTGACGTCCTTCAGGTATTCATTCAGGCCGGTGATGCTGAATATGTACGATGACTTTCTGCAAGGTAGAAGTGAGTGAGTGAGTCAGTGAGTCAGTGCCTGGATGGCTGGGTGGGTCTGGGTGAGTGAGTGAGTCAGTGAGTGAATGAGTGGTTTTTGGGTGAGTGAGTGGATAGGCAGGCAGATTCGGGCATACTAGCAGATGGGGTGGGTCTATTAGTGTGTGAGCGAGTGATCATGAGTGAGTCAGTGAGTGAGTGAGAGAAAGTGAGAGAGCCAGTGAGTGAATGAGTGAGAGCAAGTGAGTGAGTCAGTGAGAGCAAGTGAGTAAGTGAGAGAGCAAGTGAGCGAGTCATTGAGTGAGAGTGAGTCAGTGAAAGCAAGTAAGAGTAAGTGAGAGAGCAAGTGAGCGAGTCATTGAGTGAGAGTGAGTCAGTGAGTGAGTGAGCGGAGTGATTGAAGCCATTGAGAGAGAGTGAGTGAGAGAGTGAGAGTGAGTAAGTGAGAGAGCAAGTGAGCGAGTCATTGAGTGAGAGTGAGTCAGTGAGAGCAAGTGAGTAAGTGAGAGAGCAAGTGAGCGAGTCATTGAGTGAGAGTGAGTCAGTGAGAGCAAGTGAGTAAGTGAGAGAGCAAGTGAGCGAGTCATTGAGTGAGAGTGAGTCAGTGAGAGCAAGTGAGCGAGTCATTGAGTGAGAGTGAGTCAGTGAGAGCAAGTGAGTAAGTGAGAGAGCAAGTGAGCGAGTCATTGAGTGAGAGTGAGTCAGTGAGAGCAAGTGAGTAAGTGAGAGAGCAAGTGAGCGAGTCAGTGAGTGAGTGAGAGTGAGAGTTAGTGAGAGCAAGTGAGTAAGTGAGAGAGCAAGTCAGTGAGTCAGTGAGTGAGTCAGTGAGAGAGCAAGTGAGCGAGTCATTGAGTGAGAGTGAGTCAGTGAGAGCAAGTGAGTGAGTGAGTCATTGAGTGAGAGAATGAGTGAGTGAGTGAATGAGTGAGTGAGTGAGTTACAGATGGCAACTCTAACAGTGTCAGCAAGTGCTGTTTAAACCACAGACACATATAAAATATAGCTGACAAGGAAGGCTCGGGTAGCATGGTTACCTAACAGTACTGACTCCATGGCATTTATTATATATTACAATAACAACTTGACAAGATGTGGCACATACATAAAAGTCCCTGCTGAGACCCACATCAACATGGCGTGACAATGTAAAACTATGGAAGCAGGACGTGGGGATTGTTGATTCTGGTTATTGTGAGGAAGTAGGAAGGAGAAACTGCCTTACTTTTAATCTAAATATATTACTGCATCACGAAACTGTTGTCATTCTCAGTTCTCATATTCCTTTCCTGCTGGCAAAACTTTCCACAATTATGTTCCTGTTATTTGAAGTAATGATCATCAATCAAACAGTAAACCAGACGTGGAGACATTCAGACACATATTTTCCGCCCAAGCCATATTTTTCTAGTTCCCTGTAGGGTATGTATGCATTTGTGAGTAACAAGGATATTAGAGATTATTACTCTGGGATGCTATCTCCCTGAGAGTGAGTGAGTTTAGTTTTACGCCGCTTTTAGCAATATTCCAGCAATATCACGGCAGGGGACACCAGAAATGGACTTAACGCATTGTGCCCATGTGGGGAATCGAACCCGGGTCTTCGGCGTGACGAGCGAACGCCTTAACCACTAGGCTACCCCATCCTCCCCCTATCTCCCTGAGGACAGAAACAATATTTATATAAAGTCTGCTGTTATACAGCTGTCTGAGGTTTGAGATGAATGAGGGCTATAGTGTTATAGTGCTATATTAAAAGAGCTGTAGTTTCTCTATTGTTGGTAAGAGTTCTATAATAAATGGAACAAATAAGGCAATGGAGGTTTGTGTTTGTTGTTTAACGCAGCTCTCAGCAATATTCCAGCTACATGGCGGCGGTCTGTAAATAATCCAGTCTGGACCAGACAATCCAGTGATCAACATCATGAGCATCAATCAACAAAAATGGGATACGATGGCATGTGTCAACCAAGTCAGCAAGCCTGACCACCCGATGATGACCCATTATTCACGGGTTCTTGAATACCAATTCAAACGTGGAACTTCACAGGTAATTGAGGGATTTACCTGGGTTTTGATCAGAGGCTGACACTAAGCAGTCTACAAAGGACAGTATAAATTCCCCCAATTTGTCTTAGAAACTTTCAATTTCATGTCATTATAAATAATGGAAAAATCAGCTTGTATTTACCTGTCAAATAAACAAATAGGTGAAGTGAAATGGGATTTAACGTCACACTTAAGAATATTTTGCTCATATGACAATGTACAGGAGTGTGTAGGGTCAATGCGGCTGCTTGTACTAGCCCAGACTTTAGCTGGCTTTATAGTGCTAGTTCACTGCAATAACATGCCACAGTTAAGCATGAATACCCCACTCAGACACATTATATTGACCAGTCCTTGTTGTACCCATTAATGCCGAGCGCCAGGCAGGGAACAACAAGTACCATATTTTAACGTCTTTTGGTATGACTGGGGTGGGAATTGATCCCGCGACCTTCCGCTCTCCGGGCGGACGCTCTAACCACTACACCACAGAGGTGGTTAAAGAAATAAATAAAGAATACAGAGGTTTTAATATTCAATGTGACTCTATTGAACATAATTAATGTTAATATACTATTTTAAAAGCAAAAAGAACATAACAATAAATAAATCCATAATAGCTTGCAAAAGATTCTAGATAAATCCATTTTCTCTCTCTGAAATTGCATTCAATAATCTTCCTTTTTGGGATAGGAATTTGATAACTTTATTATAGTGGCAAATGGAAGATAAGTACAACAACATTTTCTTTGAATTTTTAGCAGAACATTTCTTTTTGCACTGTAGGTAGCTAGATGTAGTGTGTGAACTAGCCAGGAGGTGAGGTGAGGTGAAATTGGGTTTAACGTCGTGCTTGAGAATATTTCGCTCATATGACGACATGCATGCGTGGGTATGTGTATGTGCGGCTGCTTGTACTAGCCCAGACTTAAGCTGGTTTTATAGTGCTAGCCCACTGAGATACCATGCCGCAGTGAAGCATGAATACCCCACTCAGACACATTATACTGACTCCGAGCCGACCAGTCCTTGTTGTACCCATTAATGCCGATCGCCAGGCAGGGACCAACAAGTACCATATTTTAACGTCTTTCGGTATGACGCAGTCGGGGATCGAACCCGCGACCTGCGCCTGGAGAGCGGACGCTCTAACCACTACACCTAGGAGGCGGTGAACTAGCCAGGAGGGCCAGGTAAGTAAAACTGTTGCTAGCCCACATCATACTTCACTGGCCCTGCAAACTATCAATATCAAAATGCACATCAGTCAGAATTAGTGGTGTTTGGTAATTGAAGATGTTAAACGTTACATTTGTATTGTAATAGTTCCTAACCTCTTTTGCGCTTTCATTAACATTTTTTATATAACGAGGGGCGGTGGGGTAGCCTAGTGGTTAAAGCGTTGGCTCGTCACGCTGAAGATCCGGGTTCGATTCCCCACATGGGCTCAATGTGTTAAGCCCATTTCTGGTGTCCCCTGCCGTGATATTGCTGGAATATTGCTAAAAGCGGCGTAAAACTAAACTCAGTCAGTCAGTCAGTCAGTTTTATATAACAACCTTGGTGTGACAAGAGATAATAAATATCAAGGAACTTTTGCGGACTTACTAATTTAACACCTTAATAACTGACTTAATATTATACATGTGCATTGAATAAAGAACAAATTATCTGAGATTTTCAGCTAGCCAATTGGCCCGATTCACAATCAGCTAGCATTTGGCTAGCAGGCCAGCAGCTATTTCGAACGCTGGATTACTAAGATGAGATTTGCACAAAAATGTTTGTCATACATTTCCTCCCCAAAATATGTACCAACACTCACATCAGCCAGTCTTCACAGTAGATTAAGCCAGGGACGTCTCGGTACGGGACGCCAAAGATGCCATCAACGTAGTGTACGAAGCCGTTCGTCACGCCCACGTCAGGTCTGATCACCCGTGTCTTCACGTAGCCGCCTTCAGCCCATGTGTCTGAGGAGTACAACCATTGATACCTCAACATATACTGAACAATACTGACTGAACTTTAGGACTGAACAATACTGACTGAACTGAACAATACTGACTGAACTTTAGGACTGAACAATACTGACTGAACTTTAGGACTGAACAATACTGATTGAACTTTAGGACTGAACAATACTGACTGAACTTTAGGACTGAACAATACTGATTGAACTTTAGGACTGAACAATACTGACTGAACTTTAGGACTGAACAATACTGACTGAACTTTAGGACTGAACAATACTGACTGAACTTTAGGACTGAACAATACTGACTGAACTTTAGGACTGAACAATACTGATTGAACTTTAGGACTGAACAATACTGACTGAACTTTAGGACTGAACAATACTGATTGAACTTTAGGACTGAACAATACTGACTGAACTTTGGGACTGAACAATACTGATTGAACTTTAGGACTGAACAATACTGATTGAACTTTAAGACTGAACAATACTGACTGAACTTTAGGACTGAACAATACTGACTGAACTGAACAATACTGACTGAACTTTAGGACTGAACAATACTGACTGACTGAACAATACTGACTGAACTTTAGGACTGAACAATACTGACTGAACTTTAGGACTGAACAATACAGACAGAACTTTAGGACTGAACAATACAGACAGAACTTTAGGACTGAACAATACAGACAGAACTTTAGGACTGAACAATACTGACTGAACTTTAGGAATACAAGTGTGTAATAGGATGTAGCACATGTTACATTTGAAAAGTACAGATGCGACCTCACGGTTGTAGAGTTGACACACAGGTGTAATCTGCAGTCCACCATCCAACCGTGGGATAATGCATACCGTGAGATAGGATAACTATATAAATATAACATTTATGAGTCCCATCCAGAATTCAAACCAACATCCTCAGTCACCTAACTGCAGTACACAAAGTCAGCCATCTAACCCAGTCAGCCACCGTGGCTTCCACAAAAATTGAAGTCAGACAACACCAGGGCAGTCTAGACCACGGACTGTACCCCCTCCGATAAATTGTAGTTGGATAAATATAAATCAAATCTGAACCAGACAATCCAGTGCTTGACATGAGCTCCAAGTTGCACAATTGGGATGCGATGACATGCATGAGCCAAATCAACTATTTTATTACCAATAATTTTAGCTTCAAATAGTAAGTCGTTTTGTGTGGATCCATATAACCATTAGCTGTGTATGAAATAAGCCAAAAAATCCAGCCAGACATCAGGGCTGGTAACGTCAAAATGTTACCAGCCCAAAATGGATTTAACCAGACCAAATATGGTGAATTTACTCAGATGTATGGAACATCTAAAAATTTTACCAGACCATCGGTCTGGCTTAAGCTGTAAATTTAAACCGTCTGTCAGAAACTGATTTTTGTTGGTCAAAAGAATTTTTATCTTTTAAGTTTTCAACAAAGTCATCAATATCCCCCAGCAATGGCAAAATACTCTTCATGATTATGTCTCTGAGAGTTATGATTATGTCAAATATTTAGGTGTGTATATAGAAAAGTGGAAGGAGAGTATTAAAAGGTTTTGAAAGTTCTGCTCCAGAAAGAAGCACTATCACCAATTTCAGTGTAAGTCAAACTTGTTGCCATGGAAATGCCAAAAATATTTTATTCAGAATTCCAAAACTACCAAAAAGGCACAAGTACACCACCAGATCTATCTATGTGCCAAGTTTGGTGAAGAAATATTGAATGGTTTTAGAGTTCTGCTCCGGAAAAGAGCACAACCACCAATTTCAGTCTAAGTCAAACTTGTTGCCATGGAAACGCCAAAAAAATTTTATTCAGAATTCCAAAACTACCAAAAGGCACAAGTACACCACCAGATCTATCTATGTGCCAAGTTTGGTGAAGAAATAGTTAACAGTTTTAGAGTTCAGCTCGGGAAAAGAGCACTACCACAATTTCAGGCTAAGTGAAACTTGTTGCCATGGAAACGCCAAAAATATTGTATTCAGAATTCCAAAACTACCAAAAGGCACAAGTACACCACCAGATCTATCTATGTGCCAAGTTTGGTGAAGAAATAGTGAACGGTTTTAGAGTTCTGCTCCGGAAAAGAGCACTACCACCAATTTCAGTCAAAGTCGACCTTTTGCCATGGAAACGCCAAAAATATTTAATTCAGAATTCCAAAACTACCAAAAGGCACCAGTACACCACCAGATCCATGTATGTGCCAAGTTTGGGGAAGAAATATTGAACGGTTTTAGAGTTCTGCTCGGAAAAACCATTTCAAAGTACATCGTGTCATTCCGCCAGCGTTTTCAATGTTCATTCGCAAACGAGATAATTAAGTTTATACACAGACTTTGTGAATGTTGATAACATGCGAGCACTATGTCTGACACAGTTCTTGATGCATGCATTTCCGAGAAAACGTGTACTAATGAAGGGAAAATAATTAAGCATATTATTTTAATCATCAAACAAAACAAAGTCTTTTTTCTTGACAGATATCGCGATTCGGCAATATTCTAAGTTAAATATCGATGTATCGTGGCCCAGTTGAATTACCATATCAGGATATACGACAATGTAAAACGTTGTATGATGCGATCGATGCAACGATGCGATATCAATGAATCGTCACACCACTAGTTGGTATGATTAGTTTCCTGTACTCGGAAAAGAAACTGATTGAAGTACTCATTGTTTGGGGTGTTTTATTATCACTTTCATGCTAGAATATGCACATGTGTAACGACAGGTGACATTCAATCGGTTGACATTTTATGGGGAACTTGGGGATATGATTAGCTTCCTGTACTCGGAAAAGAAACTGATTGAAGTACTCATTGTTTGGGGTTTTTATTATCACTTTCATGCTAGAATATGCACATGTGTAACGACAGGTGACATTCAATCGGTTGACATTTTATGGGGAACTTGGGGATATGATTAGCTTCCTGTACTCGGAAAAGAAACTGATTGAAGTACTCATTGTTTGGGGTTTTTTTTATTATTACTTTCATGCACATGAGTACATGTATTAGCTATTGACGGCTTAGTTAATTTAAAAACAATTAAAACTTTACTGGAGAAGTCAATGGGAAAATATTTGGTTTTGTGTAACATATAAGCAGTATAAAGTTGACCAACTGACCGTTGCCCTGGCTGTAGATCTTGATGTTCCAGCCCCGGTACTGGGACGGTGTCTCAATGCGGGCCTGGTAGTCTCCGTTGACGTTGGTGATGGCAAACTCCAGGCCTGGTTCCAACATGTTTAGCTCCACCACCTGCGCCGTGAGTGAGTGAGTGATGAAGTTGTAACTGCATGGGACAATGATGAGTGAGTGAGTGGAGTGGAGCGGGAGTGAGTGAGTGAGTGAGTGAGTGAGTGAGAGGAGTGAGTGAGTGAGTGAGTGAGTGAGTGAGTGAGTGAGTTTACGCCACTTTAGTAATATTCCAGCAATATCACAGGCGGGGACACCAGAAATGGGCTTCACACATTGTACACTGGGGCTCAACATACTATAAATGCTGTTCTTTGTAATATATTGGAAATAGTAGAAATTAGGTAGAGGTGTACCAAGCAGTCAGGTTATACAATTGTTCCGTGATTTGGTGATATTCTAACTTTTGACTTTTATGTAAGTTTTGCAATTTGATCTTTCTCCCAAAATGATTAGAACATCATATGTAAATGGATATGGTTCAAATCCAATTTTCAATATGGCCGCCATTTGTGGGAAGTAGATTTAACTGTTGTGTCATGCAAGTTTTTTCAACAGTCCATTCATTCATGCAGATTTACAAATACTGTGGCCAGTCAGTTACTCTTGTATTAACTAGTGTTGGGAATTGGGTAAAATCTCACAATTGATGATTGGTTCATAACAACTGATCAATCGTTGAAAATAATTGGTTAGCTTCATTTAGCAAATTTTCCTGGTTTTGTTTGTTAATGCACAAGAAATAAAGAAAAAAAACATGTAGTTCTTTGGGTTTTTTTTTTTGCAAACTGCACAAAATGCATTTGCAAATTTCAAATCTTTAAAGGATGACTAGTATGCTAGGAACACCAATTTCCTGGAGTCTTTAAGATAAATTAATCATGACTTGAACGAGCTTTGTAGTGCTTCTGAAATGTAACAGACAAAACCGCAACCTTGTGAAAAATATTGTTAACGCAAACAAGTGGTCGAAAATTGTTTGTGTTCGATTATGAGAAAACATGATCGACTGCTTGGTCGTTTAGGCACTGCGACCAATCTTCGATTATTACAATTAATCAGACCACCACTAGTTTCATCTCTTTGGTCATGTGGACAAAGCCTCTAAACTCAGATGAGAAGGCCTGGTGTTCACATCCCATCAAGGGACTCAGTAATTTGACAACTGCTAAAACTTTGTAAGTAGGTGAGCTACAGAGCCATCAGGCTTTTTTTTATTATTTTGTCAACACATTCTTTTTCACCTTTCGGAATTTTCTGGGCAAGGAGGTGGTTAAAGAAACAAAATTACACATTATATTTTTTCAGTCTCTGATCTCTGATCATCTTGAAGACATCTTTTGGGTTCTGATTCCCCACATGGGTACAATGGTTGTTTGCTCATCCTTGAAGCCCGATCCCCACATGGGTACCTGGTGTGAAGCCCATTCCTGGTGTCCCCTGCTGTGATATTGCTGGAATATTGCTAAACGCGACTTAAATCTTAACTCACTCACTCATGTTAATGAGGAAATGTTTAGAAACACAATAAAACAACATTAACCAAATGCATCAAAAACTTTCATTCTCTGATCACTGATCATCAAATACAGAGAAAACCTTCTCAGAACAAGCACATAAAAAATATCACACAATGCTATCAAATATATCAAAGACTAATTCTCATAACCTGGCTCATTTTGACGGTAAAAAATCTTCACATTTTCAACAGAAGCCCTCTTCACCATTAACTTTCCATCATCAGTTTTACAAGTAATAGTACGCTACAAAATCTTCAGATTTTCAACAGAAGCCCTCTTCACCATTAACTTTCCATCATCAGTTTTGCAAGTACTAGTAATAGAGCATGCACTAGTTGCCTGGATATGCGCGCTATATAAATACCCTATAATAATAATAGCAATAATAGTATCTCCCACTTCTGTCCCTGTTTCTCAACTTACATAATTGATAAGAGTCTGGTTGTTGAAGAAGTCCACGCCATGCAGGTTTTGGAGATTGGTGAAAGCGTCGTTCATCGGCACAAACACGGTAACCCCACTAGTGGTGACCAGGAAATCCTGTAATTCCTTTCGACTTCTGTCAAGAACTTGACGGAACTGGCTGCAAAGAAAACCGACAACATTAATACTTTAAACATCCCCAGACTTTCTGAGCTTGTTCATATTAAGGGCTCTGGGTGCACACCTGAAAAAGTGTTTCTAGGTTTGGGTGTTTGACAACACTGACTTGAAGTTTTGGTACATAATTAAAATGCTGTCTTAGTAGCAGTGTGCGAAATAGCCACTGGCCCGCTAGCCCATGGCTAGTAAAAATCCAGTCAGGCCAGTAAATCTCCACTGAGTCACCAGGCCCAACTGGCTTTACCTTTCATGTCATTTTGTAAATATATCACTCGCTCCGACTTGTTAAGTTATAATGCACTTTTAAATCCTGCGGAATTATGAATTATTTTGTGGGCTAGTAACTTCCAGGCATAGCTAGCCCAACTGGCTAGCAAAATTTGGAAACTATTTCGGATACTGTTTAATAGTAGATCTTAATGAGCAGTGTGCAACCTTGATTGTCACAATACAAAATATATGATATTGTCAGCTCAACTAAATGATGGCTTGGCTGGCTGGTAGTCCCAAGCAAATTTGTCCCTCGAACATCAGTTGCTTCATCTTGTCCAGGTTTTCTTATGTACAATGGAACCCTGCTTATCCAAACAATGGTATACCAACCAATCATCCAGATAAACAAATTGCTGGATATACGAATCACATTGGAAACTGACATGAGTTAGCTCCCCTACACAGGTCAAACTTCATTCATAACAAAGTCTCCCAAACTAAAGCTGAAGGGGTCATTGTCGGCACGGCTACTACAGATTTGTACCCGAAGGACGTTTCTGTATAGAGTAACAGATCTTTGTGAACATTGTGCAACCTTTACTGCCACAATAGAAAACATATGATATTGTCAGCTAGTGGTGGTCCAATTAATTGAAATAATCGAAGATTGGTCACAGTGACTAAACGACCAAGCAATCGATCATGTTTTCTCATAATCGAACACAAACAATTCTGGAACACTTGTTTTCATTAACAATATTTTTCATAAGGTTTGTTTTGTCTGTTACATTTCATAAGCACTACAAGCTCGTTCCAAGTCATGATTGAATTTATCGTAAAGGCTCCAAGAAATTTATGTTCCTAACATACTAGTCACCCTTTCAAGATGTGAAATTTTGCCCAATCCCCCCAGAGAACTACATGTTTTTTCCACATTTTTGTGCATTAACAAATCTCATAAATGACACAAATCAATTATTTTCGATGATTGATCAGTTGTAATGATCCAATCATCAGTTATGAGATTTTAACCAATTCCCAACACTATTGTCAGCTACACATCTGTTGTACCCATGCCGACAACGACCCCTTCAGCCAAACAAAACATCAAAGGGAGGCTACTGTCATTTCCAGGGACATGGAAAGGTCAAGGTCACTACCTGATAGATGGGTCCAGCTGGATCTGTTCCCGAGCTGTGTTGTAGACATAGCCCAGCAGACTGTCGACGAAGTGGATGACGCCATTGGACAGAGTGAGGTTGCCCTTGGTGATCTGGGCGTTGACGCCACCTGCGCTCACATACACTGGAAATACGACAATTAAGGTTGGGTATTGCCAAACTTTCATTTTGCAATATACTGCGATATGTGTTGCTGTATTGCAATATGTATTGCAATATGTTGTGAAAGTGTAACACATGGTTTAAGGTAATGAAATTACTGTACTTTCTTTTGAAACAATGTCACTGGCCACTATCAGGACTCAGATGTGATTGTACAAGTGATCAATATAAAATGTTTCCAAATTTAAGACTTTGCTCTAAAGTTTTGAACTTGAGAAAAGACGACTGCAGCGGCGTCCGCTATTTTGGGTTGTTTATCAATACAAGTGATGGTACCAATCTATTTCTTTTAGATTTATTTATATGGTTTAAAAGTCATGCAAATACAATTACATGACCAATAAACATTTTCAAAACTATTAATGTATAATAATATAAAGGCAATGCAAATGTTATTAGTATTTATGACTACATCACGAAAATTACCGATCATGGTCACAGAAATTGCTGATCTTATTGGGTGAATTGGTTCGCAAAGTGTACCGCAATATATCATTTTGTGAAGTTTGAACTGCAGTATACCGGTTAACTGGTATTATCGCCCACCCCTAATGACAATACTGTGTAATAAATCCCACATCATTCATTGCTCAGGGAAACAACGCAATCTTTATGTACTGAAATAATGCCAGAGGCCCAGATAAGCTGCGTATCAGGTAAAAATCACGATAGAAAATTCCACCACGATTGAAAAATAATTGTAGCGCACTACCACCACGCTTTTAAAATGTTGGACGCATAAAAAAGTTTAAAACAAATGCGAACGGAATATATTTATGAA